GTAGCGGTTCAGCACCGGCCCCCGCGGCTGGAAGTAGCAGCCACCGACTACCGACGGTGGCGACACCGGCTGTACGGTGAAGAACCACCGGAACAGCCGGAGAGATGGGCGCACCCCGATGAACATCTCGCACAGGTGCGCGAAGATGGCCAACGTCATTACCGCGTTGGGGGTGAGGTGCGCCATCTGGAGATCATAAAGCTCCAGAACATCCATGAAGAAAGAAGAGAATGGCGGGACCAGCCCTGCCATTGCGAAGGAAAGGAAGAATACGGACCGCCCCGGGTAGTGTGGCGCCGGGCGTCCCTCACCCAGCGCAACCACCTCCTGGCCGGTGGCAGATTCCGGCATGAATCGGCGCGGCAGCCCGGCTTGCCTCTCGCTCACGATGCGAGAAGGCGGCAGCACGCTACCGTCGAGCGGTGCGGAGCCCCGTGCCATGACACCGGCGGAGGAGGGGTTTGAGAGCGAGTGAGTGCGGCGAGGGTAGGGCACAGGAAACGAGAAGTTAGAGCGCAAGCGGCGAAGGCAAGGGGAATAATGGCGAAGAGGAAGGAAACGAATCTCTTCCTCGGCGTCTTTATACCCTTGCCAACGCTATGCCCGGCTCCTCGCTTCCCGCGCCCACTATCTCGCCCCCTCGTTTCTCGCGCCCACTCCTCCACTAATCCCGTTCGCCCGTTTGCGGCGCACGAGGCGGATGTGCGGCCGTGGCAGTCGAGATGGGACATATCGTGCGCGCGTTAACTACGCTCGCCGACCGATGCACCATCATCACATCTCTAGGCGAAACGAACCGGTTCGTCCCGATTCGCGCGCTACTCAAGTAATGTAGCGGTCTTGAAGAGGCCGCTCATTATTGTCGATCGGTTTCTCCCTTGCCGATGCGCGCGATTTGCGACCGTTGGGTTTCTGCCCGCCTGTGGGGACCGGCCCCACCTGTCACCGGGCCTAAGGAGTGGCATCTCGCCCGATCGCCTCCCTCGAGGGGGGCGGTCGCCCTAGCGTGACGCCGGCGGCTACTGTCGGTGACATGGGGCCAGGGGTATCGTGACTAGAGGCTTGGGTAGCCGCGATCACTCACGTGGCCCGACCCCCTCGGGGGGGTCGGGCCCAACGGTGACATGGCCACCCCTCCCTCTGTCTCCCCGAGGGGTCGGGCCGCTCCCGTTTCGGCCCCGAGGGCTGGGGCGCCCCGACCCCCTGTGGCGTCGGCGCCACGTGTGTGGGTTAGGTGAGCAAAGCGGCCCTCACCTAACCACATTTATAGCGGGTTAGACGAGCGCGTCACGCCGCATTCAATGCGGCGCAGCGCATGCTTATCCGGTCTGTGACCAGTCGCGGTATGTGACCGGTCACAGACCGGTCAGATCGCGGGTTAGGTGGCAACAGGCGGCCTGTCGCACGCCTCGCTCCGTCCCGTCGGAATGATGAGAGCCTCTAGGCACTCGTCCCTAGACGGAGCCGGCGTGGGAACTCCTGGAGTTAGCACATCGGTCTCGGCTAGATTCATACCAGGCTTCATCGCAACCATTACAAGGAAGTCATTTTATGAAGAAGGGCTGACGTGTGGCATGCTAAACTGACGCGTGGTAGACAAGAATGACCGGTTTGTGACTGGTCTGACGCCGGTCACGTCATCAGCAAATAACCGTGCTCCCACGTTGCACCTGCTTCCGGCGGAGTGGAGGTTGGTATGACCCATCCCATCGGAGGGTCATTCGGACAGCAGCCATTGCAAATCTCCGCCCATTAATGAAGGAAGGACAGGGTTATCCCGGTGTCAGGCGAAGGTACGAGCCAAGTTTTGGTCAAAGTAGGATGGGTCCCCACCCAAAAGAAGGGTAGGTAGAAATGGTGTATGTGGTATCCCCTTGAGATATAAAAGGAGGACCATGCCTACCAAGAGAGGGGACTGGAGGAAAAAGAGAGAAGAAAGGGAGAAGAAAAGAAGGAGAGCTCGTAAAAGGAAGAGCGGAGCTCGTAGAGGAGAGAAAGAGTGAGAGGGTCTCTCTAGAGTTTGAACTCTCTTGCTCTCCAGCTCTTTGTAACTCCTTCATACACAGATCCACCAGAACACAGGAGTAGGGTATTACGCTTCTCAGCGGCCCGAACCTGTCTACATCGCCCGTGTCTTGCGCATTTGCTCTCTCGCGAAACATTCCACAAATCGAGGGCTTAGAATCTCACCTAGCGCCCCCGGCCGAACCAGCAAAGGGGGGCCCGCGCGGTCTCCCGGTGAGGAGCCCCACGCTCCGTCATCTTTGAACAATCTTGAGAAATCAAAACACCATCGTTTTGTTTTGCCTTATTTGCACATGAAACATTGACTAAAGAACTTGCACAAAAAGCCACTTTGTATTTTTTTCAAAACATTCTTTGTCAAAATCAACTCATCAACAACACGAGCAAGTAAAGCAAATCCAAGAGCAAAAGAAGATTCCAACTTTTTAGATTTTTCAATTTCAAATTCCAATTTCTTGCAATTAACAGAATTGACATATCGCAAAGCACTAATTTCAGAAAATAAAACTTCACAAGATTGACAATTATCATCATTAGGAATCAAAAATTTTAATCTAGCAATTTCAGCATTAAGAATCTCAATAGTATGATCCTTCTCATCAAGCACAATAGAACATGTTTGAAGTTTCTTACCAAATTTGTAAGCAGCATATTCTAGTTGATCATAACTAAGCTTTTCTTCATTATCATCATCAGATTCATCAACATCAGAACTTGCATTACGAGCAATAAAAACTAAATCAACAACTTGCTTACCTTTGCTCTCATCTTCATCTTCCGATTCATCAAAAACTTTTATGAGTTTTTGGATTAACCACTTGATACAATGCTTCTTCTTCTCCTTCTCCTTCATGTTCTTCTTCTTGTTCACGTCATCCTCTTTGACTCTACCATCATCTTCCTTCTTGCCTCTCCCAAGCTTAGGACAATGCGAGCGAAGATGATCAAGTGCACCACACTCAAAACAATGATTTGGTTCTCCTCTTTTCCTGTTTCTAACATTTTTCATAGCTCGAGAAAATTTGTTAGATAGCAAAACCAAGTCCTCCTCCTCGAACTGTTCGAGTTGATCATCGGACATGGCATTAAATAAAGCAAGAACAGAAGACTTCGATGAAGAAGCACCAACATCCAAAGAAGTTGAAGACGAAACCAAAGCACTAGACTTAGAATCACCTTTACGAGAAAGAATATTCATCTCATGAGTTTTCAGTTTTGTGTAAAGCGAATCCAAAGTCAAAGTAGACATGTTCACGGACTCCTGAATAGAAGTAACTTTCATCTCCCAAATAGACATGTCAAGACCATTCAAAAAGTGACGAGAAATCTCAGATTGTGGATAATTAGCATCATAAGAAGAATCAACAGATCTAAGATCACTCAAAATTTTATTAAACCTAGAAAGATAGTCATCCAAAGCTTCTCCAGGTTTCATCTCAAATTTAATGTACTCCTTTTTGAAAAGATCACGACGAAATTCTTTAATGTTATTTGTACCTTGATGAAAATTATTCAAAGCAACCCAAATCTCATGAGCAGTTTGAAGATGAGCAACACGATCATAATCCGAACAAGAAATCCCACTCAAAAGAATATTGCGAGCTTTGCAATTCAGTTCAAAAGCAATTTTTTCAGCAGCAGTATTAATAACTTCAGGAATCACATAAGGAAGAGAAACTTTTCTCCAAATATCATAATTCTCAGCCATAATGTAAGATTGCATCCTACTACACCAATGAGAAAAATCCGTTCCATCGAAAACATGAGGCTTAGTTGAAAACTTATTAGAAGCAGCCATGGCAAAAACTCTAGATCGGTTAAAATCCAAAGAAGCAAAAAAAGCTCTGATACCACTTGTAGGATCGAATCACAAGAACTAAGCCAACCAGAGGGGGGTTAATGGTTGGTATACCCAAAAACCAAAAACTTTTAGCGGAAATAAAAGTTACCCTCGAAATAGACGGAGATCGGTCTGACCGAGATTAATCTGTTGGTCTGACCGAGTGGATGCCACCGGTCTGACCGATGTAGAACGATTGGTCGAACCGCCGAAGTCGCCTGCCGCTCGCTGTCGCTGCTGCCGGTCTGACTGCCGTACTCCCGCCGGTCTGACCACCGCAATGCCGTCGATCTGACCGCCGGTGAGTTGCCGGTTAGACCGCCGAAACCCGGTGAAACACAAATCGAAGAACTCTTAAAATAGATGACAACTTTATTGATTCTCTCTGTGTTTACAAAGTGCACCAACAGCACTCCTTATAAAAATTTTGACCAAACTCGAAACCCTAACTAAACTAGCAACTCAATTGCTCTCAAAAGCAATACAAAAGCGATACCGGGAAGCCTCACGCTCCCCCTCTATTTATACATGAGGTAGGCAGCCTAAAGCCACGAACCAAACTCATACTAAGAGTCCTAAACACCTTAGGAAACTCTCTAGTACAAGACACAAACTTTACATAACCAATTGTACCAAATTTGGACTCCTTCCAAATTCGACTCCGCATCCCAAACGCACACAATACCTCCATCGTATGCCATATGGAATCTTCACCAACCACGTGCATCAACTCTAGCCTTAGTATCCCGCATAATATCTGACCACCACGGACATCGTCTTACCACCAAGCCGACTCCCGGTCCATCACCGCAAATACTCTCCCTAGGCATCGAGTCACCTACACATGAAACAAATAAAGAAACTATATTCCGAGACCAAGCTATCACCAACTTGACTCATTGTTAGCAAACAACAGTATTACATACGTATAGTATCCATCTAGAAGCCATAACCATGAAACAATCACGGATATCCAAAGAAACAACCCGAAACCGAAACCGACACAGCGTCGGCCGGTCAGACCGCGGGCCGGCCGGTCTGACCGCTCGATCACCGCTGGTCTGACCGGCATACACAGCCTGGTCAGACCGGTCACATAAAATAACAGTGAATCCGATCATCACCTGAAAATTGATTATCTCCAAAACAACTTCGACGATAATCTCCAAATATCAAAACCAATAATCACAGATGCCAATTGTTCATCACAGAATAAGAATTAAAACACACATTGATCTTACATCTTCTTCACGAGAATTTGTGTTCAAAACCAAAAACGAAAAAGGAAGGAAACGGGAAGACCATATACAAAAGGAAGCGAGACGTGACATGGATGGAAATTGGAATCAACAGCAGCGACGGTTCGGATTCGATGATCTTCATGGGTATTCCTGCTGGCCGACCGGCTGGTAGGAGGCGATGAACACGTCGTCGTAGACGAGCCCGGCCAGGCCACCACCGATCAGTGGGCCGACCCAGTACACCCAGTTGCCGGCGAAGTTGCCGGCCGCGACGGCCGGGCCGAAGGAGCGGGCAGGGTTCATGGAACTGCCGCTAAAGGGCCCCGCCGCCAGGATGTTGGCACCGACGATGAAGCCGATGGCCATGGGCGCGACGGTGCCGAGGGAACCCTTCTTCGGGTCGGCCGCCGTGGCGTACACCGTGTACACCAGCGCGAACGTGATCACAATCTCCATCACCATGCCCTCGATCTCGCTAATTCCGGCGATGGCGTGCGTCGGGATAGCCTGCGAATTAGCAAGCCCGATTCACTTAGCTCAAGTGCGAAGTACAAAGCACAACAACGTGGCAGCATGATGGAAACCAACCTGTCCGTGGGTGGAGAACTGCAGAGCAGACACGCGACGGACGCGCCGAGCAGCTGAGCGACCCAGTAGAAGATGCCGGTGAGGATGGTGATGTGGCCACCGACGGCGAGGCCGAAGGTGACAACGGGGTTCAAGTGGCCACCGGAGATGTTGGCGGCCATGGAAACTCCGACGAACAGCGCGAAGGCATGGGCTATGGCGATCGCCACCAGACCAGCTGGGTCTAGCGCGCCGCCCTTTGTCAGTTGCCCTGCACAACAAAGATTTAGATGAGAAACATAGAATGATCACTGTGCTAAGTGGTACAAGCAGAGTTGGGATGGAAGTTTTTTGAAACATAAATAAGGAGCTCACCGTAGGCAATGGCGGAGCCGACGCCGGCGAACACAAAGAGGAGTGTGGCAATGAACTCCGCGACATAGGCCTTGATGGACGAGGCACTGAAAGAGTCGCCGCAGCTTCCAAATGCAAGCTTCACCATCTTTCTTTATGCGAGTAGAAGAGCTTTTAGGCTAGGACTTCAAAGGAGATGGTTGATCACACTGATGCAGGTAAAGCCCTTCTTCAGGCCCCCTTTTATACACACAACAGGTGACTGTAATGACTTGATGGACAGTCCTAAATGTTCACTACAATATTATGGGTGGCGTGAAATGATAACCACAAGATTGATAATCTAAAAACTAATCGTGTTTTGTGGTTTATATTGGCCGACCAACCACTCTGTTCTGCTGAACGCCTGAACTTTGTGTTTATTGTGATTGTTTAGACATGAACCACGTTAGGATACACCACAAGACAATTAGAAAGAAGCTATCGGGTCATGTATTATCTTATCTATTGGCTAATAAACATTATGGAGCATTGTAATGACTAAACTGTTGTTGGGTCATGTTCTTGATGTATTATCTAATATCTTATCTTCTTCTCTTCCTTGACTCCTAAATGTAGGAGAAATCAAATTTCTGAATATTACTTGAACAACAGTTTTTCTTGGCTGTAAAGGAACTTCTGCAATCTTGTATTGGAAGTGATATACTTTGTTGATCTTTACTTAGGTATTGCATTATGAATAGTAGTAGAAGTTTTCCCTGCAATGGAAGTTACAAAAGACAACCACTGAAGAGTATGTGAACAAGAGACCACGGTTTCTTGGTTTCTTGTGGAAGGGGGATGAGGATGCACTGGGTGGATGCAACCTAGTTGCTTGGGATAAGCTCTGTCTGCCGATCGAAAATGGCGGGTTGGGCATCATCAATCTTGGCAGAATGGGCATTGCCCTTCGGACGCGGTGGCTTTGGCTGCGGCGTGTCTAGCCGGAGCGCCACTGGGTGTCCTTCACATTGCCGCAAGATAGGAAAGCCGAACATTGTCTAGCGGCCGGATGCAGGATTGTGCTGGGTGACGGGAAGAGTTCCTTCTTCTGGACAGATGACTGGCTCCCAGATGGGGGGTCGATCCTGAACCGAGCCCCAATCCTGTGTTCCTTTGTTAAAAACAGAGGCAGAACGGTTCATTCGGCGCTGCAGGATGATGCCTGGACCGGCGACATCAGGGGAGGTCTTTCACTGTAAGCGATGTTTGAATACCTCCAAATCTGGGACCTTGTTGCCACCGTTTCCTTGAACCCTACTCAGCCTGATTTGTTTTCTTGGAAGCCTGCCACAGATGGTGGTTTCTCAGTAAAATCAGCCTATTCACTCCTCTGCACTGGGAAGACACGCTCGGCGGTTGGGAAGCTGATTTGGAAGTCTCGCGCGCCGACCCGTTGCAAGTTCTTCATGTTCCTTGCCATACGTGGAGCATGCCTAACGGCGGACAACCTCCAGCGGCGAGGATGGCACTTGGCTCCATACTGTCACCTTTGCGGGAAGGATGCTGAATCATGTGCCCATATGTTCCACGCTTGCGAGTACACGAGGGCAGTTTGGACGAGAATCAGGAGTTGCCTGGGACTCTCCTGTGTTTCCCCCACGGACGACATGTTGGATTGGTGGTGTGAAGCACGCAAATCAGTTCACAAGAGATCGGAGGACCTTTGATGTTGGGGTTATCTTGGTAACATGGATAGTCTGGAAGGAAAGGAATGCACGTGTGTTTGATGGACGAGCTACTTCAGCGGTTCACCTTTGTGCCACAATTGTCGACGAATGGGAAACATGGAAGGCTGCTGGGCTACTGAGCGCAATCGCTGGCGGTTAATTTCCTGAGGTTTTAGCAGCTGTGCTTGTTTATTGTCTTTATTGTTGTGAAGTTTTTTTTGTAACCTAAGCCTTTTCTGGTTTAGGGGCTGCTGTAAAACTCTCTCCTTCTTAATGCAAAACTTGGCCGGTTATCTTTGCCAGCCTGGCGAAAATTAATTAGCCCAAACCTGAATTTTGTTGTTACCAATCATTCATGTAATTTATGACCGAAGGTTCAGTTCAAAGAGCGGTCGGAAAAGGGATTGTGACAGGAATCCAATGGACACTCTGGAGTAGGTAAGGCTAGCAATTAAATCAATTGAGTTCGTGGCTGGTCCGGCAATTGAAATAATAGGTTTCAACAATATGATAATGCTAGAATGAGTGGTAATGACTTCATGGCATGAAGGAGATGATTAGACGACCAAACCAGGCAAACTTCTTTATGCTATCCTCTGTAGTTGCTCAGCTCATTATTTGTGCAGTCAGCATTTGTGCAGAGTTTCTTGGAATTCACTTTTTCATACAAAACAGAACGGTGGATAGCTCATCTGGTACTGGTAGGGAGCTACCAGGAGCAAGCCCTGGCCTGGGTTCGAGTCCCTATCTCACCATTTTCTTCTCTCTCAAAGCTAAAAAAAAGAGTAGTATTTGATACCAAGTCTCTCCTTATTATCACAATTTTTTCATACAAAACTTGTTCTTCGGGCATATGAAACAAAAAATTTATGGACCACAGATAATCAGGAATTCATACGAGTTTCCTCTGAAATGGGAATGGGGTTTCTGGTAGTTCATACCAAATTACTAATCAATGTCATTAGCACTTCTGGCGGTGGTCATACGAGCTCAAGCCAATAATGGCATAGATTAGGTCCTTGCAAGAAAGAGAAAGAGTAGATACTTTGTCATGCCCCTATTCATTATGCAAACTTCATTTGGTGTTTAGGCTTAAACAATGCCTTAATGGTTCTTTAGCTTATCTCATTAGGCATATCATTGAGAATACCCAGCATTTCAGAGACTGGTGGATGTTTTCTTTGTTCATTTCCTGACCTGTTTCTGCAGATACAATCAAGCCCTCTGATATTCTAATGCAAGCTGCACTGAGCCATACAACCTTGTGCTCACATAATCTCTATAACTTTTTGGAAATGGTTAGATATCTCCAACATTACAGAAGGAGATAGGCACCTAAACAGGTCATAACATTTCACCTGGTTTGGTGTTTCATCAGTAAACCAGTTCCATGACATTGGGAATGTCATTTTGTCCCTTAAGGGGATGTGCACTCATCCTTTTTATGTGGGCAGTGTATCAGGTGAAAACCAGGCATTCTGTGTAAACTTGGAAACTCTCGATCAAGACCACAGGATGCTCATCTGATGGCTAGGGATAGAGGTGGGCCAATTTTGCACTTAACCGCCCACAATTAGCCATAGTAATCTCATTTTTTTGCAAATCACCCTCCGCCAATCCCATCGTCGCTTCGTGTGGCCGCTGCGGGCGTCGTTTCGTCTGGTCGCCACCCTCCGCCCGCGAGTCACCGCTCCCTCGTCCGCGATTCGCCGCCGCCGCAACAGCCCCGGCCCCAGCCGTGCTACTGCATAGTCATTTTCTGGCATTTGGGAGCTGTTGCTGTAGATTGAAGATGTTGACAGGAATCTGTTGCTGCTGTCCTAGCAAGTTATCTGTGTTATTATCTGTCCTAGCAAGAGATACAAAATTCTGTGAATTGTGTCATCTGTGTTGTTACCTGTGAGCAGCTCTGTGAATATGAATGTTGTTATCTGTGAACTTCTTGTGAATGGGCATGGTCTAAATTCAGTAATATTTTCAAGTGTTCAAATTACAGTCACAGTGAAGATTGTCCTTTGAAAGACAAACTTTTTCAATTTGCCTTCTTGGGTCAAACTTTTTCAACATCGCAGTGAACTGAAAATCCAAAAGCTGAATGATTAACTCAAAATTTAGCACAATTGATCTGAAAATTAGCAGCAATAAGCTGAATGATGCCACTAGTAAAAAAAGTGTTTATAATAGTACTTTGCTCAATTGAACTTAAAAGGTTACGGGAACTTGAAATATCAGCCAACAACATTGTTTGGGCAATTGCGTGCATCATGATCCACTGCTTGCTTACATTTTGACACTTCCGTTTATTTGTATCCTTACTTCCACTTCCAGCCTTCTTCTCCTTGCTCTTCCTAATGTTCAAATGTTCTTTGCAACTTACTATTATACTCAGAGAAGATTTTGGCTGTGGTGTGCTTGGATGTTCAAGGTGGACTCCAACTCCGGCGTCGATGGTGATGACGGCATGATCCATGGCGGTAGCCTCAACAGAGGCAGAATCAACAGTGACTACAGGTTCACCATCCACTGCATGCAGGCACGTTAGCAAGGATCAAAATAATTTCTATCAAAGTCAAGATGAAAGCATTATAGGAGAAACGACTAACGACGGCATGAAGGGCTGCCACTGCCAATGCCGAAGTGGGCGTTCGTGCGTGCGTAGAAAGGATGTCGTGCGTGCCAGACTCCATGCCGTTGCACACGCTGGACTCCATCACGGTTTCGTGAGGCGCACCTCGGCGGGCCTCACGAAACGATGGCGCGTGGCGCACCTCAGCGGGCTAGTGACGGAGTTGAGCCGGCTGGGCGGGCCTGCATTCGTGGCCAGGCGCGAGGGAGCGATTCGCGGGCGGAGGGCGGCGGCCAAACGAAATGACGCCCGCGGCGGCCAACCGGCCACACGAAGCGACGCTGGGATTGGGCGGGGGGTGATTTGCAAAAAAAACGAGATTACTATGGCTAATTGCGGGCGGTTAAGTGCAAAATTAGCCCACCTCTGTCCCTAGCCATCGGATGAGCATCCTGTGGACTTGATTGAGAGTTTCCAAGTTTGCACAGGATGCTTGGTTTTCACCTGATACACTGCCTGGCTATGAAAAATTCTAAAAACAATTATAACATAAATAATTGTGTGAGATATCATTACACCAACATGCAAATTTAAATCGAACTAGACAACTTGGAATACAAATCTGACTAGTAGTATTCAGTGTGTATTTCTGTTTTTCACATTTTGTAAATCAAGTTTGAAATTAGTTTTTTGCAGGATGATAAATAACTAATTGACCAATAGTTTTATTTTTAAAGTGTTCTATAACTATTTGATTAGTATTTCATACTTACAAACAAACGTGGGGACATACCTTTAGGGAATGAAAAAAAATTCAATAACATTTGCTTCCATCGGAAGATTTTGGTGCCATATACTTGTAGGATCAAGGAGGCCGACTAGAGGGGGGTGAATAGGCGGTTTTAAAACTTAATGGCACTTAAACAAAACTAACCTATGTTGCTAGGCAAGGTGAGGT